TATAGTTAAAAATTAAGAGAGTGCCTTACTCCTTTAGGACATTCCAAGAATCTTTCGCGATCTCAGGAGATGCATATTTAGAAGAATCGAATACTAATCCACCATAAGTCTACAATAAATTAGATAATAAGCATAAAATTAAATAAAATCAATTCCTAATAAAATAATCACTCACAAAAATCACAGGATTGTCTTCCTTGGGGGAACTCATAAGTTCAAATCCAGCCAATTTCCATTCACCAGCTTTATTAATAAATATTGACGAAATTCGAACATTACCATGAATCATTGAACAATCATTATTTAAAAATTTTAATGCGCTCTTTTAAAAAAAAAAAAAGAAAAGTGATATTTAGAAAATAAGAAAAGATAAACATAAAAAACATTTTTAAACATACCCCCACTTTATATAAACCCCATGACACTAAATTATCATCAGAACGAGTATTAAGTTGTGTACTTAAAGGAGTAACATTTTCGGTAACAATATATATATTAGAATCAGTCTTTAATAAGAATTAGAGAATTGTAAAATATATTTAATTAAAAAAAAAAAACAGTAGCAAGCAATCATATTTAAAATAAATTATTACCTCTACACCATCAACATAACGTAATAAATCTGGATGTCTAATGGTTCGAAATTTCTTGAAAGCATTTTTGGCTAAAGGCAATTTATCTCTTTGCTTAACGCAATCAAAAGTGAAAATAGATACTGGACTTCCGTCCTCCTAGAGGATTTTTAATAATTCAACGAATTATTAGGGTCTGAATGTTTCAAGAACACTGATTAAGACCAGGTTCAATAATTATTTGAAATTGATTTTATAACAAGACAAATCATAACAATACCTTTTTTGTTCCCTGATATAAAGACCATATTGATGCGCCCTCGTATGAGTCGATTTTTTCAGCAATATTAAAAGAAAGAGTCGGTATGTCTTTACCTAACACAACCCGAGACAACGTTGACTTTAGATAATCCATGTTGATATTCAAAATTTTTAAAAAAATAATTTTTCATGTAATATACGATTTAATTGTGCGACAATAATGCAGGTATTACGTAACGAATTACTCAAATTACCAGTTAATAAAATACTTTATTAAATTAAAATCATTTTCTTTGTTCGAGGGAAAAAAAAGAAAAAAAATGACATCATCGAAACATACCATAACTATAAAATCATCATTTATACCATATTCCTTATTATCAGGAACATTTGCTTCATTAGCATCTGTATTTGCAAAACTTTTCACGGATACCAGAACTCTAAGTATCGCACAATATCTTTGTGATGTATTTTCTGGTAGTAAAAATGCAAAATTTTGTAAAGAAATTGAAGAAAACGGGAAAGGATGGGAGAACGTAAGTGATTATTTATGATCAAGTACAATTTAAATCAAAATTAGGAATTCAACGCCTCATTTTCAAACATCTTATGTTTTCCATAAAAGATAATATACTTGATCAGAATTCTTTGCTTCGCATCGATATTCTTATGTAACGCATTAATGTGGAATTTTCTCACAAAAGCATTCAATAAATCATCATCATCCATTCAAGTTACTGTATTAAATAGTGCTACTAATTTTTGTATGACTGTAAGTATAATTATTTCGAAATTTCGATCTTTTTTTTTTAAACAAAAAAAAAATAACCGCCACTAAAATTTAGGCAATCCTTGGAAAAGTTATATTTGGTGAAGCATTAGCACTTCAGTGGTGGTTTGGCGCGGGGTTTATAGTGCTTGGAACAGTT